TTTTTATTTTAAAAAAAAAAAAAAAACGGTCACAGCATTCAATGACAAAAGTCACAAAACATATATTTTTTTAAGCTAAATATGGCCACCGGTCCATTTTACGTGCCTCTTGCATCTTCCCTACTTATTGCGCAATGGTGATGATTGAGTAACCATGTTACTTTGAAATTTAAGAAAGTCTAATTACTCTGTTGCAAACAAGCAACTTATTAACAATAAATAAAAAGTATATATATCATGACTCTTAATTGTGTTTCATCCACCAAGGTTCTTCCTAATTCTCATGACATCTTGACCGGTTATCTTGAAGGCCTTCTTCAATACATCGTCGGGCAAATTAGGATTCGATGTGAATGTGGCTAGAGACGATATTTGAGCCCCCGGATTCTGACTATTGAGTCCCGACACCGCAAAAGCCGGTTTCACCAAATCGGTATTATACAGAAAGTGAATTAGACCTTTTGGAAACACGAAAGAGTCGCCCGGACGTAAAATCTGCGTATAGAGACGGTTGGTAGTATCCACAAAACCAACTAAGAGGGAGCCCTCTTGCAAAATGACGAGCTCCGATGCCCTCGGGTGGGAGTGAGGTGGCACGAGGCCGTTGACCTCAATGTCGATTCGGGCCATGACCAACCCGAAAGTGTTGATCCCCGGTAGGTTATTAACGTTTGTGAGGGTCACGTTGAATCCGAATTGATTCATTTTGCCGGGCCTTGAAAGCGCCGATGTCGCGAAATGTGAAGCCAACGTGTCGTCTGGATCGATGCATGGCACACCGTTTGAGAAAAAACCACGACTGTTTTTAGTGTCTGCAACACAATAATCGTTGAGCGGCTCAGGATCCGATCGACCGAATCCTATGAAAGAAATTAGGCACACAAGCAACAATATAATGTTAATTTCCATTGAACAATCAAGAAAGGAAACCAAACAAGTTTTAATTATCAAAACAATTCAAACCTTAATTATATATATAGATGCAAAGACAAGCTAGGTCACATTTAACTATGATGTAATGTGTATTATACCCACTTGGGAAAGGTTGAGTAACTTTGTAGCATGGGGAAGAGGAGAAAATAAGTCATGTCATTGTTTTTGCTTTAAAAATTGACCTAAAAAACAAGTGAGAATGGGATTTAAAGTGTTAAGAGGGCCCTAGAAAGATGTTTTATGAATGAATTAATTAATTGGTTATTTGAATGAAAAGTATAAGTTTTTGTGGGCTATATATAGAATTGTTGGCTAATCTTCAAAGCTAACTATAAATAGGAAAGATGCTTTAATAGTTGAAAATGTAGGTGAAATGAGTTTTGATAAATCCGTGAAAGAAATCAAATGAATTGGACACTACAACTAATTAGTACTAATTACTATCATGAGTTAGACAAATTTCAACGGACAGGAGAAAATTTATTCCCAATCCTTAATAAGTCTAACCTTAATAGAATCAAAGTTAAAAAAGAAGGAAAAAAAAGGCAATGCTTAGGGATGATTAAATAAATAATAATGCTGTTTTATGAAGCCAATCCCTTTTGGGGGCATTTACCATTTGCGTGTGAGGTCATGGCGTGACATGGTGAAATTATTGAGAGAGAGAGAGAG